GGAAAGAAAAACTTGTTATTTATTTCCAAAAATAGGGGCTTTGCGTCCCCGAAGGCTACAAAAGGAAAGCAGAAGGGATACAATCAGAAAATACAAGGCAGCTTCATCGGGCTCCAGGCATCTCCAGAACTTCAGCCGAGGGCGAGTCAGCCATAAATGGTTGAGAAGCTTCTGGAGCAGGCAAGAGAAGAACTTCGGCAGCGGGAACAGCTTGAGCAACTTGAGGTTCAGGAGCATGGTCCGGTGGAGCGTCCTCGGACAAGTCCACTATCACCGCCTCGGGAGCATCAGCCGAGGTCTGCATCGGCGTAGGGGCTTCATCCTCGGCAGTAACTTGTGCTTCTGCCTGTGCCATCTCTGCCGAGGGCACATACTTGTGCACTTGGAAGAGAGGGGAGTCTGGTGGGACTCCAGCATCCTGGAGCGCCTCGTCCCACCCTTTCTTGAAGAACTCCTTGCTGTTTTCTTCAAGAGCGGGGAACACGTCATTGGCAAACTCCTCCAGGAGTTGTTCCTCCGACTTCCGGTTCAGCTGCTCGGCCCTGATCCTGTCTAGCTCCTGGGTAAGGGCCAGACAGCTTTCCTCGGAGCCCACTGCCCTCTCCTCCGCAGCAGAAAGCCGCTGCGTTTGCTCGGTAATCCTCCTCTCAGCATCGGCAAGTGCGGCACTTAGTTTTTCAGCGCCCACCTTGGCCGATTCGGCGTCCTTGAGGAGCTGCTCTATTTGAGCAGCCTGCCCCGCCAGGGTAGAATCCCGGGCAGCTACGTCCTCCATTGCCCGGGCGAGGGCCGCTTCCGCCTCCTCCTTCTGACCTCGGGCCCTTTGAAGGTCCATTCTAGACCCGTGGTACCGAGCAGCTATGACGGAGATCTGCTGGGTAGCCTGCAAAGGAAGGAAAAAGTGTTAATCACAAAAGTAGAAAACAAGAGTGAAGGAACCAAAGCAAAAAAAAAAAACTCACCACCAGGGAGTTCTGGATGATGGAGCGGAACAACACGTTGGTTGATCGCCCCCTATGAGCCTCCATGTCAGCCTTGAAGTGCAGTGTCTCACTCACTGCATTAGCGACATGAGGATCCGACAGGATAGAATCGTCGACCCTGATCACTCGGCTCATGTGATCAGTGGCTCGGGGATTCCACTCCGCGGCCTCCACCCGAGGCGGAACGGGAGGAGGGGTCTGCTGCTGTTGTTGTTGTTGCTGTCAGGGCTGCTGCTGCTGCTGTTGTGGGGGAGCAGGGGGTAATCCACGGCCCCTCCCGCTTTGCTGCTGAGCGGGAGGCGCCCTGGGTCCTCGGCTAAGGCCATCGTGCCGATGCTTCACCCTCCTCTCCTCCTCCACCTGAGGGTCCCGGTCTCGCACCTGACCCCGACCAGGAACCCTTGATGATGGGGCAGAATTGGTCCCCGCTGAGGAGGTGTCGCCGGTCGTTCCTCGACCTCTCCCGGCTGCAAGGGCCTGCCTCTGCCTCAAGAACCCGAGGTCGATACGAGGAGTATTTGACATCGCGACTTCAAGCGCGTCCTCGGCGTCCAAAGATTGAAGGATTTGGAAGTCCGGCCACAAATCTCCCCCGGAAGTCCCCACCTCGGCGTCTGAAGGAACAAAGTCCTCTCTGACCCCAAGCTCTTCAGCAACTCCCTCAACCTCTGCCTCTGAAGCCCGATCCGGGTCTTCCTCCAAATTTTCCTCAACCTCTAGCCTCGCCGCCTGATCGAAGAGTTCTGACCACTGCGAAGGCTCAAAAGGTTGAGGAAGCTGTGAAAACTTCTTATACCCGGGGGTATAGTACAACAGATTATGAGCAGCTCGGCCGAACCCGTTGTCACCCGTGAAACTCCAAACCGTGATTAGGTCGGCAAAGTTCACCAGCGACCGAGGGGGTGGAGCTGTTTCCCGAGCAGGAATATCTGCACAAACAAAAAAGTTGTTAACATGGGAAGTCCCGAGAAACAAATAAGCAACCCAAAGGAACCGACGTACTTGTCGTTCTCCATTCCAGAGGGCATAATAAGTCATTGTACTCGGGACCAACACCCTTTGCCAAGATCCCTTGAAGATTAAGATGTCGTCCTTGTACCCCTTGTCCAAGTCAGGAAGATGGGTTACAAGGTACATGGAGGGGTCCCTGGCTTTGAGGTAGAAGTGTTGGTGAGGCATGACTCTAAGAAGGGAATAACAGAAAAGGAGATCATTGAGCCCAATATTTACCCCGAGGCGCCTATTGAGCTCTATGACCCCCATGATTATTCGGAAGACATTAAGGCAGCATTGCCCAGGGAAAAAACGAAAGCGAGAAAGGAACTGAAGAAGCAGGGGGGTAAAGGAAACCTAATCCCACCCTCTATGATAGCCTTAGTATAGAAAGGCATGGCATCCTCGGCCCCGAGGATAGATGAGTGCACCGATGGGTCAAAATCCACTACGTCTACGCACGGAGGAATGCCGTACTTGGCCCTAAACCTATCGATCTGCTCCTCGCCTTTCACCTTGTATTTCCCTGACCCCGAGGGACCAGCCGGAGGATTCTCGGGAGCAGGGCGACGACGAGGCATCTCTAAAAAAGAAAGAAAAGGGTATTTGTTCTTGAAAACCCCTGAGGAAGTTTCCCGAGGGTTTAAATCACGACGTGTCGACCGGATGACACCACCATTCAATCGGAAAACAAAAAGGCTAGGAGGACGAAAAGAAAGAAGGTTCTGAAACTCACCCGAACGTCAAAAATGAAGTTTTTCTGGAAAAACTTTAAAACAACTCCCTCCAGAAAGTTAGGAATCAACAATGGGTCTGCTGGCTCTGTGATTTTGAGAGAAAGGGCAGTCGACGATGGCAGAAGAAACAAGAACTCCGGCGAAGATTCAAGAAGAGGTACTCTGGGGAAAGTTTGAAATGGCAAAACGAAGGAAACCGGAGAGGAACCCCCTTTATATAGGGGAAATTTTCATCATTGGGCGCGAAGACCGAAACGGCGCATTTAATGCGCACGACATCCCAAACCAGGGAAAGCGGCTCGAGGCCATGATGAAGGACGGGTGGTAGTTGGGAAACCCTTCGTCTCCTTACAACGCGTGTCCTCGGTGTCAGAAGATCGAAGGCTGGGGGGCAGTTGATGGGACTCTTCTGAAATGCCCTATGATGAAGACACGTGTCCTCGGGGTTTGTCAAAACACTGTTGCTTGGACCAAGCGCCATCGGCGCACGAATGTCCTCGCCCCCGAGGTACCTCATACAGGACATGCGTTCAGTATATTGTACAAACAACACATGTCCTCGGTCACCCATGAACCTCGGTCGCATACCTCCCTCGGTCCCCGAGATGAGCCTTTCCTCGGTGCCGAGGGTTGCTCCATCCTGGGCGTTTCCTCTACTCCAAGATAAGCTATTGACATATAGGTCACTAGCCTAGGCTAATCTAGGCCGCTCATCATGACCTCGTCTTACACAAGTAATGTCAGAACATACCGGAATACAGTAGTCACAGCCAATAAGGGATGGACGTGTGGCAAATGATGTCACATCAAAGACAGACAAACTGCACGCCGTTACTGACACACGGCTTGGGAAAGCAAACAATTAATTGCACCCTTCTGTTGACGAGACCGCATTCAATGCGGTAAGGTTCGGATATGAAAGGCAATAAATGCTCCTATTACAGAGCATTTATTGCATCCTTCCCGAAAGGAGCATATTGTACCGTCAGCATCCCGACGACTCAGCATTGATTGCTCGGGACCCCGAGCAGTCAATTAGAGAAGACACTCCTCATCAAAATCAATACACACGCTACCTGTGCCTGATGATCACCTACTGACCACACTGACAACAATCATGAGCTTTTAAGGTATAAATACTCCTCCCAAAAGGCAAAGCGGGTATGCAATCAAAAACTCTCTACGACAATACATCTTTCTCAGTGTTTTCTCCTTCCTCTCTTTCATTCAAAGACTGACTAGACCGTCGGAGGGGATACGCCGGAAAATATTCCGGCACCCTTCTAACTTGTTCCTCTTTATTCCAGGAAAACCTTTCACACGTACCGGATCGTTCTTCCTTTCCCAGGATCTTCCGTAGCCGTTCCAGGTTACCACCGTACCTCGCAGGCTGTCTCAAGCAGCGTCTTTGGCCACTCGACCGGTTCACTCAAAGTTCACCAAGGGAGAGATCTGTTCCCAATATTTTTATATTGTGCAGGATCTTGCACGCACAGAATTGTAACTGTTTTATTTTCTAAAGAGGAGGGGATATACCAGATTTTTGCACTCTTCTCTAATTTCTATTTCAGTAAAATTTATCCATGATATATTTTAAGAAAAAAGTCATCTACACCCCTTTAAATACACATATTTTCATTGAGACCCTTATATGTTATAAATTTTTTTATGATGAATATTAATCGGTTCGAATCAAATTTTAATCAACTTACATTAAATTTTAATTAGTCTGAATTTTGATATGAAAAAAAATATAAATTTTAATCAATTCAAATTTTAATACATAAAAAAAAATTTAATCAATTTGAATTGAAACGAATTTTACTAAGTGAAAAATATAAATTTTAATTCGATTCGAATCGAATTTTAATCGGTGCAAACAATTCAAGTTGAGCTTAAACCAACTTGAATTTTAATATGTAAAAAAAATAATTTTAATAGGCTTAAAATTTATTACCTAAAAAAATAAATTTAATCAGCTCAAATCAAATTTTAATCGACTCAATTTTTAATATGTAAAAAAATGAATTTTACTCGACTCAAATTTTAATTAAGTCGAATTTTAATCAAATTTTATATAGAAAGATTGCTTGGAGTTTATGTAGGGATAATTTTGGTATTTTAGATTTTTTTTTTGCGCTAAAAATGATAGTTTAATGGCAGAGGATGTCAGTAATATTTAAATATAAATTAAAAAAAATATCAGTAATATTTTGAATAAATAAATAAAGTGTCCTTAAAAATATGATAAGAGTGAAATTTTCTCCGAAAAAGATTTGAATCCGCGTTAATATACCGCTATACCAACCTTTTCACTAATGACATCTTGGATTACAAGACTATCAGAAGACACACTTGCGATGATTTCGGCCGTGCTTGTCACGTGCAAATCAAAGTAGCCCACATCTTGCCTTAACACAGCTTTTAGATATCTGGCCCTGACTCTTGAAGCTTGTCTCTCTGCTGTTCTTGTCCAACAGTACCCCTCTAAAAATCCGAGTCCAATGGGTAATAAATCAGTAAAGTCCAAAAAAAAGCCATTAAATTTCCGATGAATTTTCCTGAAGAACATCAAAAGAATATATATAAAAAAAAAGAAAAATAGAGATTAGAATGAAACATACCTAGGAAACAACCGATCCATTGCCCACAAGCCAAGTAACACATAACCAATGCATTCTGTCATCCAGAAAACCAAACCCCAGTTAGCTACACATCAAAACATTCTAAGGTACCCACTGAATAACCACCAGATATATATATATATATATATTGATGAGATATTTTCAGAACACAAAAAATGACGACATATGTCTTCGGCGCCGATAAAGCAACTCTGCTATGGTCCTGACACGTGTTATCGGTATCCTTAGCCCCTCCCGCCAAGGGAATAATTTTCGAGGCTGAGGGACTCCGGGGCGGCATGGATGTCAGATATCCCTCGGCTCAGATTGATGATATCGGTCCCGATGTGTGTATGCTCTCTCGGCGTCGAGGTGTATCTACTGGAATGTAGATTTTTCCATTCCTACAAGGGCTGGTGATTAACAGGTGACTAGCATAGGCTAGCCATTATAACAACGTTCTACTCTATGGTGTCAGGAGGCACAAGAATGCAAAAAATTCAACCAAGGAGAAATGGACACGTGGCGTGCGGTGTCAGATCAAAGACAAAAAGACTAAAATGCCCCTACTGACACATGACTTGAGCAACACAGACATTTAATGTATCCCCACTCTCACAACTATTGACTTGATCGTTGGAAGGGATACGCCGAAAAATACTCTGACGCCCTTCTAACCCGTTTTTCTGTATTCCAAGAACTCCCGCAGCCTTCCAGGACTAGTCGGACGACCCAACAAACAATTCATCATCACTACTTAGGCCCCTTTTGACCCTCTCAACCCATTCCAGGTGGTGAGATCGATCGCTGCCTCGACGGAATTGTGTTCACCACGGGAGAGATCTGTTCTCATACATATTGTGCAGAAATTTGCATGCACACACACACACACACACACACACACACACACACACACACACATATATATATATATATATATATATATATAGAGAGAGAGAGAGAGAGAGAGAGAGAAACCTTGTTGATGTCATGAGTGAAATTTGTGAAGATTGAAGTAGTTGTGTCACCAAGATTGTTCATGAGCTTACTTGTTATAACCAACATAAGCGGCGTGGAAATCCCATCACATATGACTCCAAAGAAGCCAAGAGCCATCAACAAGAAGTCTATAAGATCCGCATGCATGAAAATAGATCGAAAAGATCCATTCTTCTTCTTTTGGATTGTCATGTTTTCGTTAGTAGTACACATCTTTTCTCTCACAAACTCTATGTTTATGGGAATAAACAACCACCGTGAGATTCTCAAAGAACCAAACCCTCTGAAGTTGTTGTTGTGAGGTTGCTTGTTTCCAAGAAGTCTGTCATTTAACTACCGAGACAATAACAAATGTAGAGATGGTGGAATATATAATAGTTTGCTTACGTAATGAGAAAGAGGATAGTTTATGTTGATAGCATATGTATGAGTATATATATATAGTATTAAAATGCAGTTTATTGTACATATGCTGGAGGAGAAGATCACGGTTGACAAAGGAGATGCTATGTGGTTAATTCTAATAAACTAACTAATCTCTCTAAGAAAATAACAGAATAATTAAAGTTGTCATTATTCTCTAAGCATCTCTATTGGGATCAACTGGATCTAGTGGCGTCACAGGATGGTTTTTTTTCACTTGAGCTTCAGTACATGTGATCTTCAGTGTGCTCGTCTAATTACATCCCCTCAAACCGAAGGTGTTGATTCGGTTGAAACACCATCAGTTTGATGCGCAAAGAGAGAACGGTAGAAGTAGAAAGACCTCTGGTAAATATATCTGCAACCAATGTACTAAACCTGAATTTCTTTTCGACCAACTTTCTTTCGAGTAAAATGAAAATTAATTTCAATGTGTTTCGGTCAAGCATGAAAAATTGGATAGCAAGAGAGGGCTAGAGCTGAAACATTGTCACACCACAGAACAAAGAATATCTGAGAGAAAGACATGAAGATCACACAGTAATGTTCTAAATAGGTCTGACAATCGTATCGGCGGAACGGATTCGTATAAAAAAATTTTTCATTTATATTTCATTCGTTTAAATAAATGAGTTTACCTATCACACCCATACACGATTCGTTTATTACCCATACACGATTCGTTTATTAGAAAGGTTATTCGACACAACCCGTGTATCACTCGTTAAATAAGAGATTCGGTTAAAATATTTTGAGTTCGCATGAAAAATCATTAACTCGGCAAACATTACACATGTTTGACTTGTTTATTAAAACAATAAATCATAGCTGAGAAAAAAAATAAAAAACAAAAAATAAATATTAAATTACTACCAAATTCGAATGAGTCTGAGAGATGGGAGACGTGAAATAAGGTCGTGGCTAAGAGACCAATTTTTTCTTAAAATTTATAATGTCATCATTAACGGGTTGAAACGAGTTTATAGGTTAAATACAAAATTGATTTATTTATTTTACGGGTTTACTGAATTAACCCGTTAACTACTTAAATTCATTAAAACTACATCCAAATCTATTAAATCTATGTCGGATTTCACGAGTTGTGTTTAGGATTGCCAGAACTAGTTCTAAACCAATATAATTCAGCAGCTCTAGATGCCAATATGCGATACGCAGAAGACTCGGCTGTTGTCAACTGTTTATTTGGACAGGAGTTGAACCAAGAAATAGAGCAAAACCTATAGTAGATATGCGTGCATGATCTTGCACAATATAAACACGAGAACAGATCTCTCTCGTGGTGAACTCGAGTCAATCAATCGAATAGTCAGCCTTGCTATTTGGAACAAGCTGAGATTCGTTGGCGGCCTGGAAAGGTAATGGGTGGCTTTCAAGGATCAAAGGAGCGGTCCAGTAAGGCTGAGGGAGGTGCTTGAAAAAGAGAAAAACAAGTTAGAAGGGCGCCGGAGTGTTTTTCGACGTATCCCCTCTGACGATCAAGTCAATTTTTGAGAGAGGGGAAGAAGAAAACACTCGAGTATAGATTTTAGAAAAGGTTTTTCGTTGCATACCGTCTTGCCTTTTTGCGAGGAGTATTTATACCTTAAAAACTCATGATTGCTGTCAGTGTGGTCAGTAGGTGATCATTAGGTACAAGCAACGTGCGCACTGATTCCTATAAAGAATGTCTTCTCTCTTAACTGCTTGGGACCCTGAGCAATCAATGCATCATCATCGGCCTGTCGAATATTCAATAAGCTCTTCTCGGCAAGAGTGTAATAAATGCTCAGTATCAGGGACATTTATTGCCTTTCTCTTCCGAGCCTTACCGCATTAAATGCTGTCTCATCAAGGGAATGACCTAATTAAATGCTTACTTTCCCAAGTTGTGCGTCAGCAAAAACATGCGGTCTTTTTGTCTCTGATGTGACACAATATGCCACGTGCCCCTTCCCCATTGGCTGCGTCTTCTGCCTTCCTGTGCCTTCTGACACCAATTGTGTAAGACGAGGTCATGATGGCTAACCTAGCCTAACCTAAGCTAGCGACCTGTACATCAATAGCCTCTGCGGAAGCAGAGAATGCCATCCTGGACGGTACACCTCAGAACCGAGCGGGAGGTATATCTCGGAGCCGAGAGGGAGTACATATAGGGACCGATGTACCATATCCCCGACCGAGGGATACGTGTCGGCACGTAAACGTACTGGATGTCATTGATTTCTACGACCAGTACCTCGGGGGAGAGGGACTTGTGAATCGATGGGTACGTGTCGTGATCACAGTAACAAGAATTTAGTGACACCGAGGATACGTGTCTTCATTTTGGAGTATTTTGGAAATGTCCCATCAACTGCCCCCCAGCCTTCGATCTTCTGACACCAAGGACACGCATCGTAAGAAGACAAAGGGTTCTACAACAACCCCAACCGCTTCATCATTGCCTCTAGTCGCTTTCCCCTGCTTAGGACGTCGTGCGCATTAAATGCGTCATTTCGTGCTTCGCACCTAATGATGGGATAGGTACTATATATAAATAAGCTTCCTCTCTTCTTTTCTCATTTCGTCATTTTGAACTTTCTCCAGAGAGCCCTTGCCTGAAACTTCGTCGGAGATCCCTTTTCTTCCGTTGTCAACTGCCCAACCATTTCACTGGAGTCTTAAGGCCAGCAGACCCATCCTTGCTTCTAAACATTCTGGAAGGAGTCGCTTCAAGTTTTCCAGAAAAAACTTCTTTTTACATTCTGGTGAGTCCTAGTATCTTCCCTCTCTTCGCCCTTCTGTCTCTTTTGGTTTTTCGATAACTGGAGGTATTTTTTGGTTGCCACTCAGCGACCAATCCTCGGGAGGCCTCCTTGGGGATCTTCGTGGGAAAAACACCCTCCACTTTTTATCACTTTTTGGAGATGCCTCGTCGTCGCCCTGCCCCTCGAGAATCTTGAGGCCAGTTCTTCGAGGTTAGGGAAGTATAAAGTAAAGGGGGGGCGAGCAAATTGATAGGTTTAGGGTCAAGTACAACATCCCCCCGTATGTAGGCATAGAGGATTATAACCGCTGTGCATCCCCGTACCCTCAGGACCGAGGATGAGATGCCCTTCTATACCAAAGCCATCATAAAGGGCGAAATTAGGTTCCCTCTGCCCCCTCTACTCCTCCAGTTCCTCTCTCATTTCCACCTCTTCCCCGGGCAGTGTTGTTTTAATGTCTTTAGGATAATTATGGGGATCCTAGAGCTCAACAGGCGTCTCGGGGTAAATATTGGGCTGAACAATATCCTCTTTTGCTATTCCCTCTTAAGAGTCATGCCTCAACAAAACTTCTACCTCAAAGCCAGGGACCCGTCCATGTACCTCGTTACTCACCTTCCTGACTCGGACAAGGGGTACAAAGATGACCTATTTACCTTCAAGGGATCTTGGCAGAGAGGTGCTGGTCCCGAGTACAATGGCTTGTTATGCCCTTTGGAATGGAGAACGACAAGTACGTTGGTTTCTTCGAGTCTCATTATTTTTGTTCTTGAGATTTTCTACAAGTGTTCATAACTCCCTCTCCTTTCTTTTTTGTTTGTGTGCAGACGTCCCTGCTCGGGAAACAGCTCCTCCACCTCAGCCCTTGGTGAACTTCGTCGACCTAGTCACTGTTTGGAGTTTTACTGGTGACGATGGGTTCGGCCGGGCTGCCCACATCCTTCTGAATTACACCCCCGGATATAAAAAGTTCTCACAGCTCCCCCAGCCTTTCGAGCCCTCGCGGTGGTCTGAACTTTTCGATCAGGTTGCGCAACAAGAGGCCGAGGAAAATTTGGAGGAAGACCCCGACCGGGCTACAGAGGCGGAAGTAGAGGGTGTTGTTGAAGTTGAGGAGTTCGAGGTCAGGGAGGCTTTTGTTCCTCCGCACGCCGAAGTGGGGACTTCGGGGAGAGACTCGTGGCCTGACTTCCAAATCTTGCAGTCCCTAGAAGAGGAAGATGCCCTCGAGGTAACCATGTCCAACACGCCTCGCATAGATCTGGGGTTCGAGGATCAACCGGTGGGGTCCCATCAACAGGGACCAGTGCAACCCCACCTTCAAGAGTCGTTGGTCAGGGTCAAGTGCGTGATCGAGATCCTCAGGTAGAGGAGGAGAAAAGGGTCAAATAAAGGCACGACGGCTTCAGCAGGGGACCCAGGGCCCTCTCCGCTCAGCAGCAAAGCGGGAGAGGCTGTGGGTTACCTCCTCCTCCCCAGCAGCACCAGCAACAACAACAACAATAGCAATGACAGACTCCCCCTCCCCCTCCGCAGACGGTGGAGGCCGCAGAGTGGAATCCTCGAGCCACTAATCACATGAACCGAGTGATCAGGGTCGACGACTCCATTTTGCAGGACCCCCATGTCGTCAATGCAGTGAGTGAGACGTTGCACTTCGAGGTCGACATGGCGGCTCATAGGGGGCGATCGACGAACGTGTTGTTTCGCTCTATCATCCAAAATTCCCTAGTGGTAAGTTCATATTTGCTTTAGTCCCTTCCATCCGCTTTTCTTTTTATTGACAAGTCCTTTCCCTTGCAGGCCACCCAACAGATTTCAGTAATTGCGGCTCGGTACCATGTGGCCAGGATGGACCTCCAGTGGGTTCGAGAGCAGAAGGAAGAGGCCGAGGGTGCCCTGGCCAGCGCTAAGGAGGACGTAGCTGTCAGGGATTCCACCCTCGCGGGGCAGGCTACTCAGATCGAACAACTCCTCAAGGATGCCGAGTTGGCGAAAGTCGGCGCTGAAAAGCTGAGTGCAGCTTTAGTCGACGCTGAGAGG